AAACTGGCCCGACCGCTGACGCGACGGGCGGTGCGGTTGCGGCATTTTCCTGTCGCCTTTCATCTCGTTTTTGCGACACACGACCGGCCACGGCAGGAAAATCTACGATGTGCACGATAAGCCCTCGCGAAAGTTTCTTCCGGCGCGCTCCCGTTCGAGTTTATCGTTTCTTGCTCAAAACTGCTGAGAAGTCAAAAACATAGTGGCAAGAAAACGAGAACAATCTCACCGTCAGTTCAGTAAATATCGAAAATAAGAAATATCCAATTTTTGCGATTGACTTGAATTACGGAAAAGTTATAGAAATATTTATCAACACGGAACATCTTGTGTAATGAACGGATATTACGACAGGTATTTGTTGGATATTATAGCAAAAAAAAAACGCAAGATAAAGCTTAATTACCCCTCGAGCCAGTCATTAATATGAATGACGGATTCTTTGGTCATTTTTCACTGCCGCAACTATATTTTTATAGTATTCAACATCGAGATAATTACACTTCTACTTGACGTACAACAAATTAATGTAATTTGCTTTTCGTCATAAATATTCGTTCAATTTTGATTCGTTTTATTGATTTAGCTTCGGGAGCTTAATAAAGTGACCTTTTTGGACTGCGGTACTACTACTGTTTCGCTGAAGAGCCAAAGGAAGTTAAACAGTAACGGATGACCGGAGTTTCTGTGTAACACGCGCATCTATCGCGCCAAGCCATAGTCTCAGCGACGTACCAGAGAGATATTTCCCAGGAGGTTCACGACGAGCGTGCCCGACTGACGTGACGAAGATCCATACAATTACGCAGACGTAACATCAACCACCATAATTTATATGCGCGTCGGACAGACCGCGACAATGAGACGACACGAAAAAAGGGAGAGACGATCCATCGTCGTCTAAAAGAACTCACGATCGAGAGTGACAGCACGTCGTAATTTACGATGGAAACTGCGAAAGACTCGCTGAACTCTCTATCCGTCCCGACATTACCCGACTTTTTCTTCACTGGCCACCGAAAGTCTTACGTTTCATTGTTAAAAAAAAAATATAAAAAAAAAAAAAATAAAATGATCGCCATTGTCGGTCTTCATTCACGTGGAGATACCTGTCTCTCTATTGTGTGAATCTTTGCGTGAATGCAATTCAAAACTGAGGAATGTCACGTTTAGATTTTTCAATAGCAAAAAACGTGTAATTTCAAAAGAACACAATTCTAAAACTGAATACATAATGCACCGATTTTTTTGCTAACTAAACTCAATTATTTCTTACGATTTTTTAAAAAAAAAGTATGTCGGGAGATTAAATAGCTAGAGTTACTTTCCGAGCTTTGGAAAATTTTGTATTTCAATATTTGTTAACTGAAAATGAAAATAAATTATAACGCGTTAAACTAATTCATGTATCGCTCTCAGTTAATGTTGCGAAAATTACTTTGACGTGCAAATTAATTGAGTCCACCATTATCATACAGAACTGACTGAATATCTATTGCAATATCCAAACGCGAGCAGATTGCGAGGTAATATAGTATATAGAAGACATAGAGACCCTACAGGTATAACCAAAATATATGCCAAGAGTCACGTAAAACGTGATATTGGCTGATGTGAAAATTGTTTTCTATTCTTGTTTTATGTCTAACGAACGATAAAAATAAAGTGACACAAAAACGTTACTTTATCATTCTATTTTTATCGTTTATTATATGAGAAAACAATAATGGAGTACAAATTTCACTCTGGAAAATATCATCGTCACGTGACTCTTGACGTATCCCTGTTATAGAAACTCTGAGAGAGAGTTTTTCATTTTTTATTTAAATCATAGTTTAGAATTAACCTCACTTAACTTGATGATATTGTGAAAATTGTGGGTGCTTTCCAGCAAGAGAAACAGATGACACAGTTTAACACAATGAATCATTACATTCTTGTTGTTTGTCACTGTTAAATGAAGATGAAATGATCACTGTTACAATTACAATGTGTTTTTTGCTGCACCATGTGTTTTCTGTAACTAATCACTAAACTGATGTTTTGTAGTGGCTACTTTAAAATTTACTTCATTACTAAATCATCAGTTTAGTAATGAAGGATTCTCCTTTACCGTAAAGAACAGTCCTTCATTTCAGATAGTAATCAGTGTGCGTTTGATTATTGCGATGGCTCCATCCATTCTACACGTCGATGAAATTCACGCACTCAGTTTTCCAGTTTAGTTTATACCGAAGGGTTAACCACTTAATGTAATCGTGGGGCAGAATCCTCGAAATTATAAAATTCATATGAAATCTCTATGTATAATCCGATAATTACATATGTAACCACAAGAAATGATTGTATAATATTAAATAAAATCGTATATTTAACCAAATGACTTTATCGTAGTGAAAAAAAATTATTTGTAATCAGATAAAATCATATGAAATCAAATGAAATCGTGTAATCTGTGGGACAATATTTCAGCTAGTGATTACCCCCTCGATTTATCCACAGATAGAAAGGAATACGACATGTCTGGGAAGAAGCAGTCCAAGTAAGATGCGAGGCTAAAAATGGCTGGAAAGTGAAACGTCCCAACGGTACTTTTCTATACTCCTTTCTCTCTCTTTTCACACACACACGCGCTCACGCATACTTTATAAATCATATCGGCGAGCGGAACGACGGCGCTTGTAAAGTGGAAGGACAAGATGAGAAGAATAAAAAAGAAGAGAGAGACGGACGACGGTGTTTCGCAGCGACTCGATGAAACCGGACCGCGGTGAGAAAGAAGGTGAGGAGAAGATGGAAAAGGAGAAAGAAAGAGACGTCGCGCGACGACGGCCTCGCGGAGAGTCTGATCATAAATGAACGATCGAAACGAAAGGGAGAATATTCGAGAAGAGATAGAAGGAATAGAGGCAGTCTCCTCTCAGAGTCTCCTTCTTTCTCCTGCAATTTGTACGACAGGTAACGGCGAGGAATCCTGCCAAGTCCGGCCGAGGTCAAGCGAGCAATTTTGAGAAAAGTGATCGCGAGATACGATGAATCAACCTTGGCTCGCCAGGTTCCTTTTCCACCACAAGTTCCTTTTCCTCTACGGTTTGCACAAAGGCTATAGCCGCGGCGTATTGTTAGCGGAGGACTCTTTTCAAGGAAGACACACCATGGGCCTTCCTGAGCGCTTAACAGGTGCGTGAAACGGACAGTTTGGTTAGGTCGGAGGATCTCACTCGACGTCGGCAAAGAACTCAAGAATACCAAGATTTCTCGCATTCTTAGATGGTAAAAGATATGATAAAAATTATGCAAAATATCTTGAATAAAATCACGAAAAATTGAGAATAATTTTTATAAAAAAGTAATATATATATATATATATATATAGATGAATTTGCTTCGTTATTTGAGTGTGTTGAGATTGCAGAAGTCTCATTTACTCCTCTTTCTTCTTTTTCTTATCGTTCTCTCTCGTCTCTTGAGATAATCAATAATTTTTTAAAATTAACATCATTAAAAATATCCATCAAGTTGAAGCGAGACACGTATCATGAAACTGTTCGGAATGGATTCCGATCGGAATTATTCCGTTTTCCTTAGAAAACATAATAGAAATGTCGAGAATAATTGAACAATTCCGATCGAACACTTCTATAATGCATACTCTGAAGAAATATTGATGTAGTTACAATTAGATACCTAGTTTCCAAATGATCCCAAAAATTTTGAAGCAGTACTAGAAGCAAAATTTCTACTGCTAAGTAACTATAGCTACATTAACCTCATTTAAGAGATTGAAATTACATCGCCTGCTTAAATAAAGATGTTCTCATTTATAAGCACAATACAAGATATGCAAAATTAAATGTGATGCACTTGCAAGTATTGAATCTGAATTCGGCCACAAACAAATGTATTTATAAGCATAAAACATTGAAAATAACTTTCAAATTTTTGTGTCATTTAAAATATCAAGCCTAATTTCTCATTTGCTAATTGTGATTAAGCTTAATCTAATAAAAATGTAAAAATTGTATTTTTCTATGTCATTAATTACTACATTGTTAAAAATCAATTACTAAATTCATAGCGTTTTCCACTGGGAAAACTAGTGCAATACTGAACGCAATTTAATTTAGACATTTTCAGAGTTAATACATAGTTTAATTTTAATTACAATTTTTTTTTATTATAACAATAACCTCGTAACCTTAAAAGGATGAAATTACTTATTAACACACTGTAATTATGTAAATTAATTTGCACACAATGTGCACTAGTGTTGCATTAATTTTCCCAGTGGAAAACGCTGGAAATCTAAATCACAACTTCATTAGATGAAAAACTGGTCTTATAAGATCGAACTTCTCGAGACATGATTCATGTTTATTGCGAATTTGCTGACTCTAATGATTCATCACTGGCCAATTCGCCCGCTTCCGTTCGACACAGTGCAAACGAGCGCAATTACCCAGGAGTGATGAAACGAATTACAAACGAACGTGGAAAGTCGCGTCGAACACGGAATTCTACGAGCCGTGCATCGCCTCGGTACAAAAGGACGGTCGTGAAGTCAAATCGGTCGCTACGCGACGGTTGACGGTTAGCGGCCGTTTCGAATTCGAACAAACGCGCGACGCAATTCGCGCGATGCATTGCTGCGGAACGAACGAAGGAACGTCGATGCGACGCGACGCGACGCGATGCCCGGTGGACGCGCGCCACTTGAAACTCAAATTCGAATTTGCGAGCTCAAACTTCGAATATAACTTTACATCAAATGTTCCAGAAGCGTAGCGCGACGGTTAAACCACCTGCTGAGTGTACTCTCGCGTGCTTACTCGTCCCTCTCACCTTTCTCTTTCTCTCTCTTTCTCGCGCGCGCTTCCTACGCCGAGGTGCGGTGAACGATACCGCACGAGCGGTCCCGTGGGAAACCATGTGCGAGATTCCACCGACAGAAGAGATTCCTGTGTTATCACGATAACAGGTGAAATACTTTCGAAGCTTACCTGTTAGCTGTAACAGCAGAACGGCGATCGCCACGCAGGTGGGACGCACACGACAGGCTGCCATCGTGACGTGATCGCTGCCTATCTTCACTCTCCACACGGGAAGACAAGTTCTCTCTCGTTCCTCACCAACACCGTTCTTCCGCCTCTCTTTATTTCTCTCGCTGCCGTTTTATTACTGTTCACTGACACCACACGCGATCGCGTACCTCGAACTCCACGATCGACAGGGATCGAGCGATCAAGCGGCGCGACGCATTCGAACGGATCTTCGACCGACTACGATAGAACGTCGCAACGTCGCGCTGGCCTATCTCGAACTGTGGCGGGGAGCGCCGCTTGCGCGCTCGGCACGACCTTCGGCCGCGCTCGGCCGCTTTCGTGGCTCACGTGACTCCTTCGGTACGCAGGTACGCCGCTCGCCGTGTCGTAAAATCGTAGAGGGGAAGACAACCGTTTCGCGCGCGCGGCGAACGCTTCACGTCTGAATCTTTTCTACGTGGATCGCGCACAGGTAAGCGTAAACCTTGTTTATTTTTCTCTAAATTTCTCTAACTAGGAAACGAACGATTAAAATTCCTATAAAGTATTAAAATTCGCGTCAAGCTCGACAAAAAATTCTGTATGAATACAAAATGGCGAATGGCGAAATTGGTACCTTTCCACGTACGACGTACGTATTATTCTCCAAATATTATTCGAGTTGAGAATTATTGTGTATATATATATGAAATTGTGTATATATGAAACATATGTCATTTATTACTTTAGATTAGGAATTAAACCGCGCGTTAGTTATACATTTTTCACACCCATGGGCCCAATATTGGACGCAGTACCCTCCATACATCGACTTTTCCTAGATCGACCATTTATCTTCTCTCCTACGGACGTCGTTGCATCGTACGCTCGTAAACACGCGGGCGTAACACTTTCCCAAACGAATATAAATCTCCCGGCGGCGAGGGATTTTTGTTTATAGGATATATACAGCAATCTTGTTTTCGGAATTTGTTTCGCTCTATGCTCTGCTCGCATATGCAAAAATCTACGATTTATGACAGTGGCTTATCCAGTCGCCGATGTATATACACGCATAGTGCGTAGTACATATCAAGGTGTTGAAGTAATATATACCATACTAATAAAAAATGAACACTATCTAATCTATTTGGCAGAACAACGCGAAGCAAGATTGATAGACTTGAGACTGAATAACTGTTAGCTCATTAATCCCGAGGAATATGATAGATTAATTCTCCGACTGCAATCTGTTTTTCGTATAAGCGAAATTTCACTCAATTTTCCTAAAATCTTAATTTTTATTAAATAAAAATTTGTATTTAATAATATATTTAATAATGTGTGTGATACACGAAAAGAATGGTTTTGTTAAAGTATTCAAAAATTTAGGTAGATAAAAATCTGATAATATATATTATATAATTTTGTTAGATCATCAAAACAATTACAAAATAATTATACTGAATATTCAAGCTAGTTATTAAAATGTCAAAACTTCTTCTTGAAACATTGTTATCATGCTTGAACGTCCTACATAATTATTTTGATGAATTAGCATAATTATTTTTAATTCTGTATTTAATTAAATTTTTAGATACTTTTCAGCAAATGGCGATATTGGAAAGTGAATGAAATGAGTTTTTTTTAAAATCTAGAATGATAAAAAACTTTGGCTGAATAAAAAAGATCTATAAAGAGAGAAAGTAAAAATATGACTACGGAAAATAAAGAAAAGTTATTCGAAAAGAACCATTTAACGCTAAATAATGTCTAAAAATTTAGTTAAATGCGGATGTAAAAATAATTTTGTTGAACCATCAAAATAATCACGTAGGAATCTTAAATCTGATGAGCAATGTTGTAAAAAGTTTTGACATTCTAGCAACAAGTTTGAGCGTTCTGCATAATTATTTTCATAGTCCAACAAAATTATCTTCAGACCTGACTAAATTTTCAGATACTCCAGCAAAACCGACGTTTTCATGTACATGAAGGGAAATGAAATGTAACCTAATATTAACTCTATTATAATCTACTATAATCCGAATGATAATTCAATTTAGATTAACGTTTAATAACATTATTGCGCGAATTAATTCCTGGAACTCAACGCGTGCGAATAATACATACCCCTCTTTCATCGTTATTATGTCACGTACCTTATGTCGTCATTTAACGAATCCCTTCTCGTCGTCGCGAGATTTATGACACGCACAGCGAGGAGCTTTCCTTGCGCACCCAATCACTGTCATCATCGTCAAGACAACGACGTCTTCAACCAAGATTTTGAAGATTGATAGCTTATCTGTATCACGTGCTATAAATTCGCACGCAAATATTGCCATGGCGCTAATGATAGACCCGTAATTACGACTCTTGTGTATACAATTATTCGGAGAGCTCACGATGCGCGAACGATGCGGCTTATTCCATTTCAAGTTTACACGGAGACGCGCCCTGATGGAAATAGGCGGAAAATCGAGCTCGTATTCTACTGGAGAAAGGACAATCTCATCTCAGAGAGGGAAGGTCTGAATTCAGTTAAAGTATTATATAGCTACCGAGATCATAAAGTTGCCGTGCAGAATTCTATTCGAAAATATGTTATCGAGGACAAATCTATTATTTACTACTTTCATTTTCTACGTTATTAAAATCCATTATTTAGTTGGGCTAAATCGAGCCACGCAAAACGGCCCTCGATTCTTCCCGTTACACGTGACGTCACAACCGGAACTCGAAAGTGATGCTATTCGGATACAGCCTCGAGTGTCTCCCTCCCCTTTTATTTCGAGAAGTATACAAACTCCATCAACGGTTACGATCTCCACCTCGTTCTTCCCTCAAGAGGGCCGTCCTTTTTCAAATAAACCCTCGCGTGCTTCACGGGTTTGGACCCTTGGTTGATCTTTCGTGACGCGAAGAAACGTAGTTTTATGATGATCCTGAGAGACGAGGAAAAAAGAGGTGCAGACACATTGGGCGCCTGGCTTGTTTATCATTTGTCAGCGGTCTATTTGCACCAAAGCTACAATCTTGTGGACAGGGAAAGGTCTCACATCTTTTTCTTGTAACGTCAAGTCGAGTGGTGACATTCGCATTGTCTTCTGTGACGTCTATCGTGCTGATCGATCGTCTGGTAATAAAAGACTGTGCTCGTTAGAGAACAATTGACGCGATTAAGTCGAAAATTGGACATCATTTTTATTAAATTTCTGTGGGGAAATAGAACTGTAGCGAGAGTATTATTATATTACACGTGTAATCGTGCACCATAAGCTCTCGTTTTCCGAGTAATTATATACAGGAGAGACATAATTACGGATCTATCGGTTAATGCCATGGCAACATTTGCATGAATTTATACTAAAGGTCGATTAATCTTCAATTATTGCCGCATGAAAGGTCATGCAGAATTAATTAAATATTATCCACTATTATCCACCATTATTTTAAAGTTTGTATCTCCGGCATTGTTTACAATTCATTAGTAAGGAAGTTAACGCATTTCTTGCACGACTAATTCGTCCGAAGCAAAACGAGTCGCGTCTGTTAAGATGATAGATCGTGATTCCCGCGCGACGCCTGCTAAAACGCAACGTTAAGGGTTTTATCGTCTTAAAGATGCCCTAGAAAATCCGTCACGCTATTTACTGGTTTTCTGACGGCTTGGCAAGTACCGAAAGTGGATCTCGTTTCACGAAAGTGCACAACTCTTTCCTTAATGAGGGATATTCAGCGCCACTGCTCTTTTACTGACAAAATTGAGTAGCAACTTAATAACTCATTTAATGAATCGTAAAACTTCAGGATATTCATAATACAGTTCCAGTTTATCTTATAAAAAAACTTGAGGAAAGAATAGAAGATGATTTTTTGATAAATTAATTTCTATTTACGATGTCAAGTCATTTAAAAAATTTTTTTACATATTATTATATATTTTTTAATTGAACAATTATTGAATGTTTTAAATTAGATATAATCTAGGCAGTTCTAAAAAAGCAGTTGTCGAAAGAAATTATTGACAATTAATTTTGATTATTTTTGTATTTTATTTTTATGATAAAATATAGTATGAAAAGATATTTTCAACAAAAATTTTTTTTAACGACTTTATATGGATTCATGTGTTTTCATTAAATCAATTTGCCAACAAATTGTTTGATCACGTGTTCTTGATTGTCTCATTTAATCTTCCATTGCCGCGTTGCACCGACAGGGACTAATAAATATTCTTAATGGATCATCAATTCCTGTATACCTTGGGACTAAAAGAGAGATTGGAAGTAGAAGAGGACAAGTTAAAAGAATAGGTACCAGAGACTAGATGAATAAGAGCGGACGGGGGAAAATGTCAGAACCACCGAGAAGCCAGACTAAAATAACGCCTCGAAACGCTTGTATCTTTCATCTACCAGATTTGCAAGCGAGCCGGTTATTAAACACTTAAATCTTCCTCGGTGCATAAAAAAAACGATGTCGAAAGCCCGTAGGAACAATAAGCGGGAGAAAAAGAAAATGGGAGATGCGCGAAACAAATTTATGAGGGACAAGCGATCCGCTGTTCCTGCTCCTCTTCAAAAGCGACTGCTACTAAACTAAATATTTATTCCACGATCTTTCACCGACGACCGACTCTTCACAATAAACAAATAGAAATATTTCGTTTCATCGGGTTATCGACATCAATTGCCATTGCTGAGTTGAGATATGCCGAGTGCTTGCCGTTCTCTCATTTTAATATGCAATCGAGTTTGTATTTACACAAGTTAGCGTTAGAATTCCAAATACATTTACAAGAGAACTTAAGAAAAACCAAAGAGCAAGATTTTCTTAAAAGATAATATAAAAGTTTAAATTAAATTTTTTAATTAATTATTTTCAAAGAATTTTATGGAAATAAAAACTAACGATTTCCGAATTGAAAGTTTGATTTAGGAAATGATAGGAGAATATTTGTGGAATAACATGGTTAAATTGAGAAATCTGATTCATGGCGTATCCTGCTCCATTTTAATCTAAATTAGATTTTTTATTCGTGCGGATATTTTTTCTCTGATTTTTTTTTGTATTCAACAAGAAATTATCTTTTTTTTTTCCAAATATCAATATAGCTTTTTTTCAAAATGTTAAATCAGTTACGTAACAACGTTAAGTATGGTATCCAAAAAGTGTTTATGCTTTGCACGAAATTATATTTACATACAATTACCGGCACACGACAAAGCTTTCCCATATAAAAAGGGAAAACTTCTGTTAGCGAAGGGGAGAAAGAAGTAGGAA